GACTGTTTAGAGTTATACATGCTATTGGTCCATTTTAAAGGCATATAAAAATCTCTGAATATCAAAATCTATATGTTACTTTCCACATAAAGGTTGTATATTCTCTTATTTTCCTTTGTGTTTTTATCTATATTTGAGTTTGTTTGGAGAATCAAATTTGTATATGCATAATATTTTATTTTTAATACTTTAATTAATTATTTAAAAATAAATTACAGTATCATTTGACCAATTCAACTCTCCAGTTCTCTGATGTTCCACTTCCTCTAAACTTCTTTATTTTTTCTCTTTTTTTTTTACACCCACAGAATTCAATCTGTAATTCTCATACAACCCTGGGTGTTGAGCATGACCTGTAATATGGTTAAAATATCAGAAGTTGCACATTCTTAAATTTATGCCCTTTCCCCACATATGTTTCAGGTGATAGAATCATCTCAGGAAGGTGTGTGTCTCCATGTCCACTTTTTCTCTAGGATTTTAATCTTGCTTGAGCTTTCTTAGGTCGAATGTATACTGCCTTGATTAAATGAGTTTATAAGTCATCTGTTACTTTGCATACAAAAAACTAGTTTCTTATACTCATTCATGACTTCCTACACTTAACATGTATTATCACTCTCTCCTGAATGAGCTATGAACATTCCATGAAATGGGTTTTATATAAACATGCAAATTAAAACCGATTTTTTTTTTTGTTTTCACTATGTCCACCTATGAGTCAACTTTTACTGTCAAATTCCATTAGGTATAAAGGCATAGAGATGCACCAGTCTGTGGGTAAACCAATAAGATATAGGAATAATTTTAATACTATATCCAAGCAGCAGAATAATGGTAGTAAATGGTATCTCCTATCTTTTAATAATTATCTTGAATTAGCATGAATACTCCTCAAGCTATTCTTCAAAAGATAAATAAATAAAAAAAGACCAGAACTCTTTGAAATTCTTTTTGTGGGACAGTACCCTTGACACTTAAACCATGTATACACTAAAAAGTAAGTAAAAGATGTGCCAATTACATTATGAACATATCTGTGAAAGTCCTCAGTAACATATATGCAACCTGAATCCAATAGCATATCAAAGGAACTATCTACCAGAGACTTCCTCTCAAGACATGTAGGGACAGATCAACAATTCAAAACCAATATAGTAACCTACCGCTTATGTAAACTGAAAGTCAAATTTTATATGTTCATCTCATTATATGCAGAAAATCCTTTGACAAAATTAACAACCTCTGCTTGACAAAAGTCCTGGAGAGATTAGGGATGCAAGGTACATACTTCCAAATGAAATAGGCAATTTGTAGCAAGCCTATAGCCCACATCACACTAACTGGAGAGAAATCAAAGACATTCCACTAAAATAGGAAACAATACAAGGGTATTCACTTTCTCCATATGAATTCCATACAGTCCTTGAAATCTTAGCTATAATAATAATTCAAATGAAGATGGAAAAGTGATGAATAACAAAAGAAGACATGAAAGGAATGTTATAGGCAAATGCTATGATTTTATGTATAAAAGACTCCAAGAAACTTCTCCAACTGAGATACACTTTCGTCAAAAATAACAGATGTAAAATTGACTAACAAAAGCAGTAGCCCTCATATGTAGGAATGAGAAAGGATTTAAATAGAAATCAGGGAAAGGAAACCACATCGTGTACAATAACCCCAGGAAATAGTTTGGGGTAATCAAACTAAAAATGTGAAAGACCCTTGTCAGAACTCTAAGGCATTGAAGAAATAAACTGAAAAAGATATCAGAAGATGGAAAAAAATTCACATACTCATGGATTGGTCAATCGATGTAGCAAAAATGAATATCTTATCAAAGTAATGTACTGATTCAGTGAAAATCCCATCAAAATTTTAACAATTCTTGAAGGTCTCAAAGGAGAGTCTTCAGCATCATATGGAGGCAAACAAACAAAAATCTCACAATTGCTTAAACAATCATGAAAAATAAATCTATATATACAGTATATCACCATTCACAATTTTAAAATATTCTGCATTTATATAATAATTAGGTTTTGTAAAATAATGGTATGGCTGATCACTAAAACAAATTACAGATACTAAAATAAGTGCACTCATCTATGACAACTTATTTTGTACAAGAATCTAGAAAAATACATTTCACAAAACATTAGCATTTAATTCTAGTTAGAATTACCCCAAACTACTTTCTGATTTTTTTTATTTAAATTTATTTATTTATTAAGGATTTCTGCCTCGTCCCCGCAACCGCTTCCCATTTCCCTCCCCCTCCCCCGATCAAGTCCCCCTCCCTCATCTGCTCGAAGAGCAATCAGGGTTCCCTGACCTGTGGGAAGCCCAAGGACTGCCCACCTCTATCCAGGTCTCATAAGGTGAGCATCCAAACTGCCTAGGCTCCCACAAAGCCAGTACGTGCAGTAGGATCAAAAACCCACTGCAATTGTTCTTGAATTCTCAGTATTCCTCATTGTCCGCTATGTTCAGCTAGTCCGGATTTATCCCATGCTTTTTCAGACCTAGGCCAGCTGGCCTTGGTGAGTTCCCAATAGAACATCCCCATTGTCTTAGTGTGTGGGTGCACCCCTCGTGGTCCTGAGTTCCTTGCTCGTGCTCCGTCTCCTTCTGCTTCTGATTTGGATCTTGAGATTTCTGTCCAGTGCTCCCATGTGGGTCTCTGTCTCTGTCTCCTTTCATCGCCTGATGAAGGTTAATATTCATGAGGATGCCTATGTGTTTGTCTTTGGATTCACCTTCTTATTTAGCTTCTCTAGGAACATGAACTATAAGCTCAATGTCCTTTATTTATGGCTAGAAACCAAATATGAGTGAATACATCCCATGTTCCTCTTTTTGGGTCTGGGTTACCTCACTCAGGATAGTGTTTTCTATTTCTATCCATTTGTATGCAAAATTCAAGAAGTCCTTGTTTTTTACTGCTGAGTAATAGTCTAATATGTATATATTCCATACTTTCTTCATCCCTACTTTCTGATTCTTTAGATACCAAGTTGTTTTCTAAGTGACAGAAAGTGGGTGAATTCTGACATCAATGAAGATGGGGAAGATCTCATGGCATTTGAGGGAGAAAAGCCATAGTAAGAATATATTTTATGAAAACATCTATTTTCTGTATAAGAAAAAGAGATAATGTATCTCTTTAATAAGATCAGTCCTAGTGAATTTACATGATGTCTGAAAATTTATGGATGCCTTTCTTGTGGCATACATGATTCTCTGTGGGCTAGTTAGTAATAACTGTTTACTTTTCTTCCTTTCCTTCTTTCTTTACTAATTAATAGTCTGTCTTCTTTATTTATATTGTCCACTTTGTTCAGTTTGAGGAATTGTGAAGATGAGTTATGTTCATTAAGATGATACCATATCAGGAGTGTGATTTTTTTTTGTATTTGGGTTATAAACTTTTTCAATTGCTGTGATAAAACTCCAAGATAACGACAATATATAGAAGACAGATCCATTATGATAAATCAGAGGTAATTGTTGTCAAGGGGCTAGAGCTGCTGTGAGAGGTTCCATCTGGAACCAAAACAGGAAGCAGACAGCTCACTGTTGGCGATAGAAGGCATTAAAATTCTCAAAGCCATTATCCAGATACATGTGTTCCAGATAGTTGATACCTTTTTTACTCTACCCATAAATATCCACCAACTTCAGGCCACATATTCAGACATCTGATTATATGGGGTCATTTCGTTGAACTCTTCATACTCTTGTTTATTATTCTGAAAATTATGATTGGAATATCTAAGGTAAGATAACTTAATTTCTTCCATTTTTATAATTTATTAATTATATGTTATAAAAGATCATCTACCCATTTGCCTTAAAAAGATTGTTTCATAAGAATAAATGATTTGAAGTTTATTTTCTGTAATATGCTACCTTGCATATGAGTCTACATATTTATAAAATTATGTCACTTATAATCTGAAAATGTTTCACATATGTGAACTAACAATTATATATTTCTATCTTCCAGTTTTCTATTTTAATCAAACACAAGATCTGTTTTCACTGGAGAATAGACAAGATCCTATCCAAAAGTTAATATCAGGAATAGATGTAAGTAGTGACTTCAAAACCTTGCATTTAAGGATGATCTCAAATTATTGGGAAGAGAGAAAAGAGAATGGAATATGTCATGATTGATATAATTTGTATTCACCAACCGTGTGTTTACCTGTAAAAAGTTTTAATAATCTCTACATTTGCTTGCAATATTTCACATTAGATCAATTTTGTTTTCAGAAATTTTCTTTAGTAAAAAAATATGTTTTAAAGCATGTTTTTATTCTACAAAGAATTTTCAAAAATCTAAAAACTGAATGACACATATACTATTAAACATTCACTAAAGTTCCCTCAACTAATAATTATATTTTGTCACAAACTATTTGATTGAGATATACGTGGGGAGTTTTTTCTCAAATGAGACTGAAAATATATCATAGCATTTCTAGTTGTGAGAAGCTTTACACATTTAATGATGTTATTAAAACATTTCCTAGGAGCTATAGGATGACTAGTTATCAGAATACTCATCTTGAAGGGAGAAATTCCCAAAACATCAAATCACAATATGACTTTACTTATTACTTAAATATAGAGAACAAATTTTGTTTTTCCTAAGAGCCAATACTTATATTAAAATTGTAAGATTTTTTATTATAACACATACCTTTATTTTTGTTGCAGAATGACCAGACACAAGAGAAACATTTTGTAAGTAATCAAATTGGACAAAACTACTACATGGAATATGAGAAGGGCTCCAACAGATCTCCATGCCTCACTAGGCTTAAGAGAATTAATCTCAGAAAGGAGGCATATAAATGTAAAGATTGTGGCAAGTCATTTACCCATCATGCAAAACTTCAAGCTCACCAGAGAATCCATACTGGTGAGAAACCTTACAGATGTCAAGAATGTGGCAAGTCTTTTACCCAGGATTCAAATCTTCATAGGCATAACAGAATCCATACTGGTGAGAAATCTTACAGGTGCCAAGAATGTGGCAAGTCCTTTACCCAGCATTCACATCTTCAGGCGCACTACAGAATTCATACTGGTGAGAAACCTTACAGGTGCCAGGAATGTGGCAAGTCCTTTACCCAGGATTCAAACCTTCAGGTGCATTACAGAATTCATACTGGTGAGAAACCTTACAGATGTCAAGAATGTGGCAAGTCATTTACCCGGGATTCAACTCTTCACGGACATCGCAGAATCCACACTGGTGAGAAACCTTACAGATGTCAGGTATGTGGCAAATCTTTTACCCATTACACAAGTCTTCACAGACATCGCATTATACATACTGGTGAGAAACCTTACAAATGTCAGGAATGCGGCAAGTCATTTACCCGGGATTCAACTCTTCAGGGGCATTACAGAATTCATACTGGTGAGAAACCTTACAGATGTCAGGAATGTGGCAAGTCCTTTACCCTTGCCTCAAGTCTTCGCATTCACCACAGAGTCCATACTGGTGAAAAACCTTACAGATGTCAGGAATGTGGCAAGTCCTTTACCCAGGCCTCAAATCTTCACATTCACCACAGAGTCCATACTGGTGATAAACCTTACAGATGTAAAGAATGTGGCAAGTGCTTTATGAGAAACTCAACTCTTAGAAATCATCACAAAATTCATGTAATGGATACATTTCATAAAGTTTATTAGTATACCTCAATTTAGTTCATTGTACAATTTTCATACATTTACCAAGATATTACACAAATGCAAATCCTTTAAATAATTTTCAAAGTTTCATCAATACTTATACAGATATACAGTTCTTACAAATTCAGAAACATTGTGTCCAGATTTGAACATTATTTTTTCAAACATTTGTTTTAAACTGAATTTTTGCATCGTTATAAGAATATACTATTCAAACATCATTATGATGGATGAGGCAATATTTATAGTATAAGAAAATTAAACAACGTTTCTTGACTGTATGTTGAAGTAACATGTTAAAGAGCCAGTCGATATGAAACAATTTCAGATTTTGATACATATTTAATTTCTTGTCATATGGTTGCTTATGTAATGAGATTATATTCTATATAAACATTGTATTCCTGTGATTTTTGGTGATTTTATATAAATACCAGTTTGCTTTAAAATTCAAGTCTTTTCATTCTGTGTCTTTGCAATAAAAATGTTAAATATCTTCACACTATTTTATTCCATTTTTTTGTTCTGATAGTCTATTTTCTAATGGCAGGGTATTATAAATGTGAGCTCTTCCGTGATTCACAGCAACAATGAAAACTTGGCATAAAATAGAAGTAGATTTGTCGAGGAAAATGCCTCCACTGTCTAAAACTGGGTTACTTTGATTGACGAAATAGGCTGATGATTGGACAATGTCTAGGCACAAGGTACAGGCAGAAATTCCTTGCAGAGAGAATAAGGAGGAGGAGGAATTGAGGCATGCAGGGGAGTTTCCAGAAAACAGGAAGGAAGCAGCTTGTGCAATTTGTGGCAAAATGTAGACAAAAATATGGGTTAATTTAAGTTATTGGACATAATTGGAAACAATCCTATGCTAAAGCCAAGCACTCAAGTAAGAAGTCTCCCCGCTAATGTTTTGGATCTGGTAGGACAGCATATGACAATTTACATAGATTATTTTAAACTTTGTATAATTGTGGTTTAAATCGATGTGAGTATGTTGGATGATACCAATGGGAAATGCTAAACTGGAAAGGAAAGCTGTAAGATAACAGCCTCAAAGAACAATATAGTTATTTAGAAAAGCAGGGAGTGGGAGAAGTGGCCTTCCCCAGAGAGCACAAAAGCTGATTTTCCATTAACCAATGGACAGCCTTGTAAACATAGAATTGTAAAATGGTATGGATTGCTCCCATTGTATTTAGGAATATATGTATATACAAGTTTATGTATAAAAATAACAATGCATGAAAAAGGACAAAAACTTGAAGGAGAACAGGAATGTGTCGATTATAGGAGAGTAGGAGGGAGGAAACTGAAGGTACAAAATGTAATTTGTAATGAGTGCAAAGGCTCATGTGCTCAAAGGTAGCACTGGGGAAACCAGGAATGTTAAATACAGGGTTGTCAATTCAATGAAAATATGCATACTCTGTTTTCTACTCTGACAGCTGGGGCTGGCGGTGGATAATTGCCCACATGTATTGTCCTTGTGCTATCTGTGACCAGGCCATGCTAAACTCCCAGAAGCAACACTGGGCATACTCAATATTCAGTGTATCAAAATACAGTTAAAATGATACATATTGATGAATTTCTTGGGGAACTGTGAGAAAATCTCTAAGAAGAAAAATGGAGAGGACCTTTTAGTCCAAGTACATTTTGTTCCATGACATAATCTTGGATGTGATTTTCTGCCTCCTGCAACAAATATTTGCATTCAATTATAGGACATGTTTATTTTTGTCGGATGTAGGAACATAACTATAGAACCCAATGTGGTGAAAAATATCCTGAATGCTGTAATCACTGGATCTTGACTCTTGAGACAACTCAGAGTCAAATTCCCGAAGTTTGAACCAACCCAAGCTACTGAATCCTGTTGTTTATAATTTCTTTCTTGCTCCATGTGGACTGTTAATCTGCCAGCCCTGCTGTTTGCAGAAATCCCCAGAAAATATATTATGTCCTAAAAAATTGAAAAACACAAAAAATAGATTCTTATTATTTGAAAGTTTTACAAACTTCTCTCTAAAAGAAATTTCTCCACTGTATTAATTAGTCTTAAGAAATAGCTAGAAAAGTAATGATTATATTTAATCATGTTCTCCAGCTCTTTTGCATTATTCAAAATGATGTTTTTTTCTGGTTGCCAAGATTCATATTCATTCTTCAGCATTGCAATATGTGTTTGTAACAAGTTTTAATTTTTAATATATATTATTTTTAAAGAATAATTATATATATAACTATAACTATATATATATAACTCTCTCTATATATAACTATCTCTCTCTCTTCATATATATATGAGGCTGCAAAACAATCCCAGTTCCTGCTGCTTTTTAAAGTATATGAAACCATGCCCCAGTGGGCTGGTATCTTAAAGGCCATTGGCTTAAGAAGCCGAACGAGCTCCTATAGCGCCTTCCCATTTTCGTTAAGTAAGAGAGTTCCAAACCAATACAAAACAATATACACTAGGATCAGATATCAAGTATAAGATTAGATTTACAATCAGATTAAACAATATTGAGCAAGGAATATATGTTAAATGTGTTAATAAACATTCTATCCTATGGAGTCTAAGTCTTATATAGGAATTGGCTTGGCTAGATCGTAAGAGTACAGTAACTATGACTATCTACTCTTAAACCTATCGATGGCCTGAGAAGGGAGATAATATTACTGGAGCTGGCAGGAAGTACAATCAAGTAGCTTCCAAAGTGAGCAACATATGAAGGAAACAATTAGCTACCTGAGTAATCACCCAAAGTCTCATTTTGCAACGTTGTAGCAACCAACTTTGGCTAAGGCCTAGTGTAATTGACAGACTATTTTCAGAGGCGGAAAATTTTTCAAAACCATTTTACCATGTCTTGGGAAGATTTGACCATCTTGCTTGTCCATTTCTGGATATGATGTAACTTGTCAGTGGTTGAGGCATCGTCAGTACCTTGCTCAAAGGCTAGTTTTGTCAAGAGGAAACAAGCTCCATGTATTCGGGGCTCAACATTCTCTCAGGAATAGATTGGTGTTGTCAGAAGCAGTCATGGCTCATGTCACCAGAACCCTAAATTATTTAAATGCCATGTTCCACAGATCCTTCAAATGGTTGAAGAATACCTATCTAGAAAAGAATATACCCAAGAGATGCCCTATCATATGACAAAAGCATTTGTTCAACTATGTTCATAGCAGCATTATTTGTAATAGCCAGAACCTGGAAACAACCTAGATGTCCTTCAATGGAAGAATGGATGAAGAAAATGTGGAATATATACACATTAGAGTACTACTCAGCGGTAAAAAACAATGGCTTCTCGAATTTTGCATGCAAATGGATGGAAATAGAAAACACTATCCTGAGTGAGGTAACCCAGACCCAAAAAGATGAGCATGGGATGTACTCACTCATAATTGGGTTCTAGCCATAAATAAGTGTCAGTGAGTCTATAATATGATATCCTAAAGAAGCTAAATAAGAAGGTGAACCCAAAGAAAAACATATAGCTATCCTCCTGGTTATGGGAAGTAGACAAGATTGCTGGGCAAAAAAATTGGGATCTTGGGAGTGGAGTGGGAGGGGGTAAGGGGAGATGGGGAGAGAAAGTGAGAAGGGGAGGATGGGGGGAACTTGGGGAATCGGGATGATTGGGATAAAGGAAAGTTGGATAGGGGAGGAGGGAAGCATATATCTTAATTAAGGGAGCCATCTTAGGGTTGGCAAGAGACTTGGACCTAGAGGGGCTCCCAGGTGCCCAGGACGATGTCCCCAGTTAGTTCCTGGGGCAGCTGAGGATTGGGAACCGGAAATGACCCTATCCTATAGCCATACTGATGAATATCTTGCATATCACCATAGAACCTTCATCTCGCGATGGATGGAGATAGAGACAGAGACCCACACTGGAGCACTGGACTGAGCTCCCAAGGTCCCAATGAGGAGCAGAAGGAGGGAGAATATGAGCAAAGAAGACAGGACCACAAGGGGTGTACCCACCCATGGAGACAGTGGGACTGATCTATTGGGAGCTCACCAAGGCCAGCTGGACTGTGACTGAAGAAGCATGGGATAAAACCGGACTCTCTGAATATGGCGAACAATGAGGGCTGCTGAGAAGCCAAGGACAATGGCACTGGGTCTTGATCCTACTTCATGTTTTGGCTTTGTGGGAGCCTAGCCAGTTTGGATGTTTACCTTCCTAGACCAGGATGGAGGAGGGAGGACTTTGGACTTTCCACAGGGCAGGGAATCCTGACTGCTCCTCAGACTGGAGAAGGAGGGGGAGATTAGTGGGGGGAGGGGGAGAGGAGTGGGAGGAAGGGGAAGGAAATGGAAGGCTGGGAGGAGGCATAAATTTTCTTTTCAATAAAAAAATAATAATAAAAAATAAAAAAAGTAGAATTCATTATCAACACGAATTTCAAAAAGTCTGCAAACAGGTCTAGTAAGGTGAACATCTAAATAGCCTAGGCTCCCTCAAAGCCTGTATGTTCAGTGGTATCAAAACCCAGTGCCATTGTTCTTGACTTCTCAGCAGTCCTCATTGTCCGGTATGTTCAGTGCGTCTCTTTTTATCCCATGTTTTTTCAGACCCAGTCCAGCTGGCATTGTTGTGTTCTCAAAAGAACATTCCCAGTGGGAGGTCCTTGGACTACCCATAGGGCAGGGAACCAGGGCTGCTCTTTGGGCTGATGAGAGAGGGGGAGTTGATTGGGGGAGGGGGAGGAATATGGGAGGTGGTGGCCTAGAAGAGACAGATACCTTTAATAAATAAATAAGTAATAAAAAAATTCTACAAACATATCGAAATTAAGCAATGCTCCTTTGTACAAACCTGGGTCAAGGAAGAAATAAAGAAAGAAATTAAAGACTTTTTGGAATTCAGTAAAAATGAAGGCAAAACTTACCCAAACCTAATGGACACTAACAATGCAGTGCTAAGAGGAAAGTTCATAGCACTAAGAAAATACATAAAGAAAGCAGAGAAAGCTCTCACTAGCAACTTAACAGCACACCTGAAAGCTCTAGAACAAAAAGAAGCAGATTCATTCAGATGGAGTAGAAGATAGGAAATAATCAAATTGTGGGCTGAAATCAAAAAATTAAGAACAAAGGAAACAATACCAAGAATCAATGCAACAAACAGCTTATTCTTTGAGAAAATCAGCAAAACAGACAAACCCTTATCCAAACTAATCAAAAGGCAGAGAAAGAACATTCAAATTAACAAAATCAGAAATGAAAAAGGGGTCATAATAACAGGCACTGAGGAACTCCAGAGAATCATTAGGTCATACTACAAAAACATGTACTTGGCAAAATTGAAAAATGTAAAAGAAATTGATATTTTTCTGGATAGGTACCATATACCAAAATTAAATCAAGACCAGGTGGACAATTTAAACTGACCAATAACATGCAAGGAAATATAAACAGTCACCAAAAGCCTGTCAACCAGAAAAAAAAAACCAGGGCTAGATATTTTCACTGCAGAATGCTATCAGAACTTCAAAAAAGAAAAAAAAAGCTATTACTTATGTTCCTGAAAGTATTCCACATAAAGTAAACAGAAATAACATTGGCAAACGCTTTTTATGCGTCTACAGTTACCCTAATACCAAAACTACACAAAGATTCAACCAAGAGAATTAAAGACCAATCTCACTCATGAGCATAGATGCAAAAATTCTCAAAAAAAATACTGCCAATCTGAATCCAAGAAAGCATCAATAATATCATCCACCATGATCAAGTCATCTTCATCCCAGAGATGCAGGGATTGTTCAACACACAAAATCTATCAAGGTAATCCATGAAATAAATAAACTGAAAGAAATCATATGATCATCTCATTAGATGCTAAAAATGCATTTGACAAAACCCAACACCTCTTTATGATAAAGGTCTTAGAAGGATCAGGGATACAAGGAACTTAGCTAAACCTAAAAACAGCAATATACAGCAAGTTGACAGCCAACATCAAATTAAATGACGTGAAACTCAAAGTGTTGCCCCTAAAATCAGGAGAAACACAAGGCATTCCACGCTTTCCATATCTATTCCACATATATATTCATGTTCTTGAAGTTCTTGCTAAAGGAATAAGACAAAAAGAAGATCAAGGAGATTTAAATTTGAAAGGAAGAAATCACACTTTTGTTCTTTGCAGGTGATAAGATTGTATACAAAAGTTACCCCAAAAACTCTCCCAGGGAACTTTTACAGCTAAAATACCTTCAGTATTATGGTAGGATATAAGATCAAATCAAAGATATCAGTAGCCCTCCTATAAACAAATGATAAAGAAGCTGAAAAAGAAATCAGAGAAACATCACACTTCACTATAGGCACAAATGACATAAAATATCTTGGGGTAACACTAAGCAAAGAAATGAAAGACCTGTTAGGCAAGGACTTATGTCTTTGAAGAAAGAAATTGGAGAAGATAACAGAAAATGAAAAATATCTTCCATACTTTAGAGAGGTAGGATCAGCATATTAAAAACGGCAATCCTACAGAAAGGAATCTATAGATTCAATGCAATCTCCATCAAAATCCCAATACAATTCTTCAAAGACCTTGTAAAAAATAATCAAATTCATATGAACAAACAACAACAATAACCCAGATAGCCAAAACAACCCTGAACAATAAAGAAACTTCCAGAGTAAACACACTGATCAAAGAAAACAGCAAAACCAACAAATTCTCATCACAAAACATTCAGGAAATTTGGGACACAATAAAAAGACCAAACCTAAGAATAATTGGAGTAGAAGAAGGAGAAGAAGTGCAGCTCAACGGTACAGAAAATATACTTAATAAAATTATAGAAGAAAACTTTCCCAACCTGAAAAAAGAGGTACCTATGAAGGTTCAAGAAGCATACAGAACACCAAATAGGCTGGATCAAAAAAAAAAATATCCCCTCGCCATATAATAATCAAAACACAAAATATACAGAATAAAGAAAGAATATTAAGAGCCGCAAAGGAAAAAGGCCAAGTTACTTATAAAGGTAAACCTATCAGACTTACACCTGACTTCTCTATGGAAACCATGAAAGCCAGAAGGTCCTGGATAGATGTACTGCAAAAACTAAGAGATCATGGATGCAAGCCCAGACTACTATATCCAGCCAAGCTTTCGTTCACTATAAATGGAGAAAACAAAATTTTCCAGGATAAAAACAAATTCAAACACTACGTAGCCACAAATCCAGCCTTACAGAAAATTATAGAAGGAAAATCACTAACCAAGGAGTCCAACAATGCCCACAATAACTCAGTCATCTAGAGACCTTTCACCAGCGCAACTCAAAGAAGGGAAACACACAAACCCAACGACTAAAAAAGTGACCGGAGTTAACAACCACTGGTCATTAATATCAGTTAATGTCAATGGGCTCAACTCACCTATAAAAAGGCACAGGCTAAGGGATTGGATACGAAAACAGGATCCAACGTTCTGCTGTCTACAAGAAACACACCTCAACCACAAAGACAGGCACCTACTCAGAGTAAAGGGCTGGGAAAAGGCTTATCAAGCAAATGGACCTAAGAAACAAGCAGGTGTGGCCATATTAATTTCTAACAAAGTTGACTTCAAACTTAAATCAATCAGAAGAGATGGAGAGGGACATTTTATACTCATAACAGGAACAATTCATCAGGATGCAGTCTCAATCCTGAATATCTATGCGCCGAATATAAAAGCGACCACGTATGTAAAAGAAACATTACTAAAACTCAAGGCAGCCATCAAACCACACACACTAATAGTAGGAGACTTCAACACTCCTCTCTCACCAATGGACTGGTCAATCAAACAGAAACCTAACAGAGAAATTAGAGAATTAATGGAGGTAATGAAGCAAATGGACTTAACAGACATCTATAGATTATTCCACCCAAAGAGGAAAGAATATACCTTCTTCTCTGCAGCTCATGCAACCTTCTCGAAAATTGACCACGTACTCGGTAACAAAGCTAACTTACACAGTTACAAAAAAATATTAGTAACCACCTGTGTCTTATCAGATCACCATGGATTAAAGTTAGAATTCAACAACAATGCTACCCCCAGAAAGCCTACAAACTCATGGAAACTGAACAGTCAACTTCTGAACCATACCTGGATTAAGGAAGAAATAAAGAAAGAAACTAAAGTCTTCCTTGAATTCAATGAAAATAAAGAAACAACATACTCGAAATTATGGGACACTATGAAAGCAGTGCTAAGAGGAAAGTTCATCGCACTAAGTGCCCACTTAAAGAAAACAGAGAAAGCACATATTGAAGACTTAACAGCCCACCTGAAAGCTCTAGAAAAAAAAAGAAGCAGACTCACCTAGGAGGAGTAGAAGATTGGAAATAATCAAACTGAGGGCTGAAATCAACAAAATAGAAACACAGAAAACAGTCCAAAGAATCAATGAAACAAAAAGCTGGTTCCTGGAGAAAATCAACAAGATTGATAAACCCCTATCCAAACTAATCAAACGGCAGAGAGAGAATACGCAAATTAATAAGATCAGAAATGAAAAGGGGGACATAACCACAGACACAGAGGAAATTCAGAGAATCATCAGATCATATTACAAAAGCCTGTATAACACAAAACTGGAAAATGTAAAAGAAATGGACACTTTTTTAGATAAATACCATATACCAAAGTTACACCAGGACCAGGTGAACAATCTAAACAGACCTGTTGGTCGCGAAGAATTAGAAGCTGTTATCAAAAACCTCCCTACCAAAAAAAGCCCAGGACCAGATGGTTTCAATGCGGAATTCTACCAGAACTTCCAAGAAGAGCTAACACCCATACTCCTTAATGTATTCCACAATATAGAAACAGAAGGGTCATTACCTAATTCCTTTTATGAAGCTACAGTTACTCTGATACCAAAACCACACAAAGACTCAACCAGGAAAGAGAATTACAGGCCAATCTCACTCATGAACATCGACGCAAAAATCCTCAACAAAATACTGGCAAACCGAATCCAAGAACACAGTAGGAAAATTATCCATTATGATCAAGTAGGCTTCATTCCTGAGATGCAGGGCTGGTTCAACATATGAAAATCTATCAATGTAATCCAGCATATAAATAAACTGAAAAAAAAATAACCATATGATCATCTCAGTAGATGCTGAAAAAGCATTCGACAAAATTCAACATCCATTTATGTTAAAAGTCTTGGAGAGATTAGGGATACAAGGGTCATACCTAAATATAATAAAAGCTATATACAGCAAGCCGACAGCTAACATCAAATTAAACGGAGAGAGACTCAAAGCCATCCCGCTTAACTCAGGAACACGACAAGGATTTCCACTCTCTCCATACCTCTTCAATATAGTACTTGAAGTTCTAGCAATAGCAATAAGACGACATAATGGGATCAAGGGGAATCGAATTGGAAAGGAAGAAGTTAAACTTTCGTTATTCGCAGATGATATGATAGTGTACATAAGCGACCCCCAAAACTCCACCAAAGAACTTTTACAGCTGATAAACAGTTTTAATAATGTGGCAGGATACAAGATCAACTCCAAAAAATCAGTCGCCCTCTTATACACAAAGGATAGGGAAGCAGAGAGGGAAATCAGAGAAGCTTCACCATTCACGATAGCCACAAACAGCATTAAATATCTTGGGGTAAATCTAACCAAGGAAGTGAAAGATCAATTTGACAAGAACTTTAAGGCATTGAAGAAAGAAATTGAAGAGGATACCAAAAAATGGATGGATCTACCTTGCTCTTGGATTGGGAGGATCAACATAGTAAAAATGGCAATTCTACCTAAGGCAATTTATAGATTCAATGCAATCCCCATCAAGATCCCATCAAAATTCTTCACAGATCTGGAGAGGACAATAATCAACTTTATATGCAAAAACAAAAAACCCAGGATAGCCAAAACAATCCTATACAATAAAGGATCTTCTGGAGGCATTACCATCCCTGACTTCAAACTCTATTACAGAGCTACAGTAATGAAAACAGTGTGGTACTGGCATAAAAACGGAGAAGTCGACCAATGGAATCGTATAGAAGACCCGGATTTTATCCCACAAACCTATGAACACCTCATTTTCGATAAAGGAGCTAAAAGTATACAATGGAAGAAAGAAAGCATCTTCAACAAATGGTGTTGGCACAACTGGATGTCAACCTGTAGAAGAATGAAAATAGACCCACATCTTTCACCGTGCACAAAACTCAAGTCCAAATGGATTAAAGACCTCAATATCAGCCCGAACACACTGAAAAGGATAGAAGAGAAAGTGGGAAATACCCTACAACAGATGGGCACAGGAGATCGCTTCCCATGCATAACCCCAGAAGCACAGACATTAAGAGCAACATTGAATAAATGG